TGGAAATATCCAATAAATTGAAGATGCACATACCCTACAACTCACCAATTTCATTCCCAGAGTTATTTTAGATAAATTCTTTCTCTAAAGTAACTCACCTAAAAAGGCTTATTGTAGCATGGTAGTAATCATAAAAAGTTAGAAATAGTCAAAATGACCATCAACAGTAAAATGGATTTTTAAAACAACCGTCATATGTTTATAATCTGTCACATGTTTATACAAACTGTCATATGTTTATAAAAATTGTCATGTTTATTCAAAAACTGTCATATGTTTATACTGTACAGCAGCTTAAAATAAATGAATGAAAACTACATGTATTAACATGGATTAATCTCAAAAGCATAATGTTAAGCAAAATAAAGCAAATTGCAAAAGTTATATAAACGATGCCATTATATGAAGTTTTAATATGTAAAATAATGCTATATGTTGTTTATAGGTGCATTTTTATTTGTGGTAAAGATATAAAAGTATGTATAAGGACTGATAAATACCAAATTTCTTTACCAAAATGTGGACCAAATATGGAAAAATGTTAAAATTTCACAGAGCTAAGTGGTTCCATGAGGAATGATTATACAGTATTTTTTCTGTATTCTGAGTGCTTAAGAATTTTTGTAAATTTGTATAGATCTTTTTTTAAAGCAGTTAGAAGTTGTAAGTTATTATTCAAAGTACTGACAGTTTGTTCCAACACTTCCTAAGTATTAGGTTATTCTGCTAGGGGGCAGGGAATCACCCTTCTGTGGTCCACATCCCAAAACTGACAGGGTTTCAATTTTAATCAAAATGGTGAAATTACACCAGTGTAGAACCTCAGGTTTTGGGCAATACAAATGCGCCCTCTTGTGGTCTTATCATGCCCTGTCCCAAAGTTCAAAAGAGTTGTGAAAAGCAGTGAATGTCTTCAATGAGATAGTTTTTCTGGGTGAGATGAGCCATGTTAGGGAAAGAAACTCTCACAGAATTCCCCTTGTCACGAAGATACTTTGATCAGCTCCCACTGTCTGTTGATGTTTTGGTGGTGGTGGTGGTGGTGGTGGTGGTGGTGGCTGGTGGGTGGCGGTGGCTGGTGGCGGTGGCGGCGGTGGGTGGTGGGCGGTGGTGGTGGTGGGTGGGCGGTGGTGGTGGTGGGTGGGCGGTGGTGGTGGTGGGTGGGCGGTGGTGGTGGTGGGTGGGCGGTGGTGGTGGTGGGTGGGCGGTGGTGGTGGTGGGTGGGCGGTGGTGGTGGTGGGTGGGCGGTGGTGGTGGTGGGTGGGCGGTGGTGGTGGTGGGTGGGCGGTGGTGGTGGTGGGTGGGCGGTGGTGGTGGTGGGTGGGCGGTGGTGGTGGTGGGTGGGCGGTGGTGGTGGTGGGTGGGCGGTGGTGGTGGTGGGTGGGCGGTGGTGGTGGTGGGTGGGCGGTGGTGGTGGTGGGTGGGCGGTGGTGGTGGTGGGTGGGCGGTGGTGGTGGTGGGTGGGCGGTGGTGGTGGTGGGTGGGCGGTGGTGGTGGTGGGTGGGCGGTGGTGGTGGTGGGTGGGCGGTGGTGGTGGTGGGTGGGCGGTGGTGGTGGTAGGTTGTGGTGGGGGTGATTGTCTGTGGCTGGCAGGTTAAGGGATGGAACCCTATTATCAGCATCAGGCTCTAGCCAACTGAGCAACCGGCCAGCCCCCACATATTATCCAAAACAAAATAAACTCTGACAGATAAACTCTGACGTATAACCCCAAGCAACCTTTCCGGTTTCCTCAACCACATTGTGCATTAGCAATCTGTCCCCCTTCCAAAGTCTGGAGGTTGATGTGCCAGGCAGTGGATGCCACTGTGAACATTTGGGAGAAGCAGAAGGGAGCCTGAGTTGCAAAGAGGCTGGGGGGACCACCATCGAACACTGAAAAATGGAGTAATTATAGTATTAAGGGAAGGATGTAGTGGGATGACGGGCGAACGTTTTCTTTTCAAATATTTCTTTAACGGTATAACAGCTTCAGTAAATAAAATTGAGGAGAAATAATTCGTGCAAGAATGTACTGCTCAGTTTTTTGTTTTAGGTTTTGTTTTGTTTTGATATCTGTCTTCCTTACTAGAATTTAAGCTCCTTAAGGCCAGCATCTGTGTCCATCCCACTCATCACTGTATTCCCATCACCAAAGCACAATGCCTGGCATGTAGTAAATATTTGATAAATGTGGTAAATGAAGGAATGAATGACCATTTCCTCAGTGTAAATTGGTACAAATTTTCTGGGCAAAAATTTCACAGTAGGCATTGTGCCTCAACTGTACTTCCTTTTACAAGCAAAGATGTGGACAAAGAATAAACCTTTTAATAATCAAAAACATCCCTTTTAAGGATATTCTATGAAAAGTTCGTTATAGTTATAAAAAATTAGCCATATGAATTTTAAAATTACATTTGATTAAGTCAATTATCGTAGATACGTCCAAATAATGAAATGCTGTGCTACTACTAAAATAATTTTTAAGAATAATTATATGGGAAAATTGTAATAATATGAAGGTATATTAAAATTGTGTATACACTCTGTAATCAATTCTATGAAAATATGAGTATGTAATTACATGTGCATGAAAGTAAATACATGAAAATATTTGCAATAGTTGTATGTGGGTACAGTGAGAGCAGTGAGGTTTTTTTGATTCTGATTGTTTATACCATGTGCTGGCACTGATTTAGGCACTTTATTTGTATGAGCATATTTCTTGCTAAGTTTTTAAGCAGCTTTATTGAGGGATAATTGACATACAATAAATTGCCACCTTTTAAAATTGTACAATAAAATGTTTTTATGTATGTATATACCCATGAAACCATCACCACAATCATATTCTATTTTACATATATAGAATCATACCATGTGTACTCTACTTTGTCTGATTTCTTTCACTCACTATAATCATTTTGAGATTCATCCATGTTGAGTGTATAACAGTTCATTCCTTTTCACAGCGGAATAGTATTCCATTTTGTGTGTGTGTGTGTACAGGTTTTTATTCACCTATTGATGGACGTTTAGGCTGTTTCAAGTTTTTGACCATTACAGATAAAGCTGCTATGAACATTTGTGTACAGGTATTTGTATGGACATATGCTTTCATTTGTCTTGGGTAAAATACCTAGGAGTAGAGTAGTTGAATGATATGGCAGGTATATATTTAGCTTTTTAAGAAACTGCTAAAGTGTTTTTTTACGTGGTTGTACCATTTTAACATTGCAACCAGTAGTAGAAGAGAGTTCCAATTCCTCTATATCCTTGTCAATTCTCATCATAGTCTTCAGTTTTAGTCATTTCTAATAGTTATGTGTTGATTGTGGGGTTTTTCTTCTTTATGCTTTTCTGTGTTTTCCAAATTTCCTGCAATGAAATTTATCTTCCATAGTTAAAAAATTGTTTAAAGTAACTAAAATAAAAGGAAAGGTAGCTTGGCCCAATATGAAGTCTTGGTCTGGGGACTCTGCTCATTCTGTCAGAGCCACCCTATATGGTCTTCAGAGCACACAGTAGCGTGCTAGCTGTGTGGCCTGGGTAAGCCTTCCTCATAGGAAAACTTTTTTTTTAAATCAACTTGCTTTTCAATGTTATAACCCACACTGGGGTTTTAAGAAAAAATTTAAACACACATAAACCTCCCACTGTAACATATTATTTTCTTTTTCTCTTCCAGTCATTATCCATCCAGATTTTACTGAGTTCTAACACACTGTTCTGTAGTTTGTATTTTTACTTGTTACTATATCATAAATGTTTTCCATATTGCTTATTTATCTTTTTAACCATAATTTTTAATGTCAAATCAATGCATCATAAATTATTTCCCCAGTCTCCCTTTTTGAGCTATTTTTAATTTTTCATTATTAATAATGTTACAATAAATAAGTTGGTACAAAAAGTTTGTTTCTTCTTTTGAATTATTTCTTATAATACCCAGGAGGTAAATTTCTGATCAAAAGCTAGAATATTTTTCTGGCTCCTGATACAGACTGTTATATCACTTTCCCAAAGGATATTTAATGCTGACTTTAATGTCACTTGCCAAGTGCCAGCAGTGGTTTCTATAGTACTTGCTAACTTCCTACATATAACATACCTCATTGTTCTCATTTGCATGCTGTTGACTACTCACCAAGTAGACATTTTTCCATGTCTAATCTCCTCCTAGGATAATTGCCTGTTCTCCTTTGCTGATTGAGGATACTCCTTGTTTTTACAGACCCAGAACCAAGGAGTGTGACCCTTGACCGTGTCAATGCTTCCCTTGCTGAGCACACCCAGATCCCTGAGGCAGATACTGTGCAAGAGGTGTAAGCATTCAAAGTTGTAATGACACGGACTTCTTTATTTTGTTTTTCTTTATTTTTAATTGTTCGGTTTCTGTTTTTTTCTGAGAGGCATGAGGATTCTCAGCTGACAGCATGCTCTGACAGCTGGAATTAAGCAAAGATTCTTGGGGAGGATTATATTGTGATGTGTTTCTACTTAAACCATATTCTTCAGCTGGGTGGGCAAAGAATGAAGTTTAACTGAAACAGTGTGAAAGCAGCTTTTTCCATTTGTTCTTATATATGAGAGCTACAGAGATGCCTACAAAACTGAGCTCTATCAATTCAGCCTTGGTTTCTCTCTCAGCATTCACTCAGCTCTGGGTAAAATAAATAATACTAATACCAGTACTAATAATAAGTACTAACACGTATCGAGTGTTTCCTGTGTACTCACTGTGTGCTTACAACGAGCTCATTGATCAGCAGCTCAGCCAGTCAGGCCCAGTCATTTGACCTAAGCCCCGCTTTGGCAGTGGCAGCTGGGTGGTCATCCCTGCCTCCATGTGGAACTATAGCCTGTTGTGACCCATGAGCCCAATGACTTGAGAACCTCACCTGCCCAGCGGCATAAGGATTCTCTCCTGGACCAAAAAGCTTGTGTCCTGGACCAGGAGCAAAGAGAAGGACACTTGCATGAATGAGGTAGCTATCTGAGGAATTCCATTTTTTAATTTTTATATCTAATCCTTTTCCACAATGTATTTAAATTGCTTACAACTACCCACCACCACCAAAAAAGATGAAATAATCAAAAATTTTTTAAATAAAGAGGACAAAAAAACCCACAAACACTCCACAAAAGTCATTATAGTCATCATGACTAGATTTCATACTTGACACAGAGATTCCTGAACTTGAAAGAAAAAAAAAAAAAAAATAGAATGACACGATCAGGATTGTGGTTCTCATTTGCAGCATACCTGTTCCTCGGGGAAAATAAAGGTTTCCCTCGCACTAAATTCTAAAGGAGACTTCTGCTATGGGTTTTATAGAGTGACAATGAATGATTTAAAGACTCGTATATTTACAGGAAATTCCATTTGCCTCATTCAACAAATATTTCTCAGGTTTCCACAGTAAGGCCCTGTGCTAGCACAGCACAGAAAATATAATACCCATTTAGCTAAAAAAGAAAATGCCCAGAACCAGACCTGGCACATGGTAGCTGCTCTGCTGTGTGACTGAAATCCATGTGGTTGTTTTTCAGTGGCCTTTTTGCCCAGAGGGCATAAGCCAGTTATTCTCAGGACATAAAACTAACACAGCATAGGACCTTTTAGTGGCTGCATCTGATCAAGAATAGAATTCAGGGGCATAAAGAAATGGATGTATAGTTGCTTGTTCCTAAGACAATCTTTCTTAAAGGTCACTTTCTTTTTCCAGCTAAGCCTTTGATGAAAGAAATTTCAGCTAAATAATTCTATGTCATTCAATTAAAGGCATAAATATGCAATCCCAAAGAGGCAAACTATTTCTCCTGCCCTCTGAGTTTTAGGATTTACCATAAGGAAACCCCAAAAGTGAAGACCAATCTTCCTAATCTCCTTATCAGGTATGTGTTGAAGAAAAGAGAGTTAATATGTCAGATGCCCAGCACAGTGCCTGGCAGAGAACAGGCGCTCAAGCAGTGTTCATTCACTTGCTCTTTCTTTCCACCAGAGTTTTTAGTTTGGTCCCATTGGTTTTCTGTTTTCGAAGGGACAGAGATTATGATGTAAACCATCTGCACAGAGGACTTCCAGGACATGGGCTTGAGTCACCAGAGAGGATGGGTGCTGTGGATACATCTCGTCTTCCAAGAGAAAGAGAAGGGAAGACTGAACCAAAACTGTTTAAACAGCAGACACGAGCCACCATCAGTCATGTGAGTGTAAACACCTAGGAGCTTGGTCTGAAGGCCCTATCTAGATCCCATAAGGCTACCATGTACAGTTTTGTAGACTGCTTACTGTACAGAGCACCTGACAAAGTGGGGAAGTGGGAGCTTAAGTCCAGCCTGTGGTCTGCTCACCAAGTCTACACGACAGCATTGGTCTGCATCCTCCTGAAGGATGGGGTGCCCATTTCTAATCCCTACAAAGGTACGGAGTAGATAGCCATGGCCTCACTCTGCCATCTCTCTTAGGTGGAGCCTCCATGTTGTCCCAGCCCATGGGGAAAGCTGAAGACTGACATGGCTATGGTCATCAGCCTGAGGTTTCCCGAAGTTAGCAAATGATGCAGCAGAAAATAAAGCTGGCTTTGTTTTAGAATCATTAACTACTAATTGTGGCAACACCAGTCTATCAAATGTGAAAACTATTTCACATTGATCCAGTTCTGTAGACCATGATTTAGCATCAAAAAAAGCAGGCAGGCCATAAAGTGTATTTTCTTCCTCTTCCCTCCTATGACGTTATTCCTAGCAGTTTTAAATCAAAGACTGAATCTTTGAATCTCCCCACCAGCTCCACATTCTCGAAGACTTGCTCTCTTGCCTCATCTAGAACCCACACAGATTCCATTCTAAGCCATTCTGGTCATCTGGTTCAACATAATCTTCCTTTGATGGTTTTTTTTATTTCCTACATGCATCATGGTCCCTTTCCTTAATTTCTCACCTTTAGGAGAGGGAGTTGACTGACAAAGCCAAGAGAAAGAAAAGAACCGAGACAAACAAGACCAAAGCACCCAAAAGGGAGAGAGAAGGAAAGGTCTATGGGGAAGCAGGGGCCACTGTTGGTAAGAAAATGTGCCCACAAGGGACAACCCAGAAGACTCTTAATGGGGTTGGGGAATTGGTATAGACAATCAGCATGGATCCTACAGGAAAAAACTGTTGGAGTCTCCCTGACTACCACAGATAAGATGGTGTTGCAATGGGATAGAGCAGCGGGAGCCTGGAGACCTGTGATTGCCACTACAGAAGTGATGATCATAATAACAACAGCACAGTATTCAGTTCTTACTGAGTACCTACTGTATTAGGAGCTCCGCATATATGACCGCATGAAATCTTCACATCATCTCCATGAAGTAAACGCTGTTATTATATTCACATAGCAGTTGAGGCTCAGAGAGGTTGGGTGAATTACATAAGATCAAATAGATCAGAGATAGTAAATTGGTGGACTCAAGGTTTGTCCTTTCCTGTTTGACTCCCAACACATGCTGCTACCACTGTCTCTATGAACTAATAACTTTATCATAATTGGAGTATGGGGTAGTGGGAGCATTTGGGAAGGGGAAGGATGCAAAAAGCTCTGAATGGCCCTCCCAGCTACCATTTCCTTCCCAGTTCCCTGTGTAGTACCTTACAAGGAACTCAGATTTCTTGCTTCTGAAGATTTTCTTTACCCTAAAACTTACACCGATCTTTTACTGCCCACATGATTCAGAAGACACTCCAAAAAAATCAAATGCTGTTGGAAAGGACAACATTGGATACACTCCTGGGCCAGATCTGTTTTCTAGGTCTGCTTTTTAAACTCCTGCTGAGTTTACATTTTTGTAGCTCATGACTGGGGAGCACTAGCAGGACTGGGAAAAGGAAATACTTGTGGCCTCCAGAGTGAATTGAAGAAGAGTCCTTAGAGTATGGAAAGCTTCAACTTTGCCAGGTTACAAAAGCTGCACCCTCAAGCCAGACTCTCAGGCATGACTCTCCACCTGTGTGTACAGGTGTCCCCTCTGGAGAGTCTTGCCCCACCACAGGTCAAGTAGAACTTGAAGTAGGTGATGTCGAACTTTTCTAACGGCAAGACTACTGAATGACAGTTGATCCAAATAGGATAAGGCAGTTTCCTGTGGAACTAGATTCTGGGGGTGGGGCTTAGGAATCTGCACCCCAGGTGATTCCATTGCATGCTAAAGTTTAAAAGTTACTGAAATGGATGTATAGAAATCATATTTACTTAACTCAGCTATACTTCTGTGTCCAAATGTTCTCCCCCAGGAAAGGCAAAGGACTCACAAGCTGAAAAAAAATTAGAAAAAAAAACAGGAGCTAAAGGGAAAAGGACACAGAAAGAAAGGAATCTGGAGATAGCAGCAGAGCTGAATGGGCCTGATGTCATTAACTCTAAGGAAACAGAAGACATATCAGATAGAAGTTTCTTCCCTTCAGCCTCTATTGTAAATGACCCTTGGCTTTCTCTCAAACATGATGCTCAGGACAGCCAAGTTTCTATAGATGGAAGATCATCACCCCCTCAAGCTCTAACTGTCACTGACAACATGCAATCTGAAGACGAGAGAAGCCATGATGACCCTTCCAAGGTAGGATTTGATATTCTCACCTTGGCCAGGAGTCTGTCCTCACTTGGTACAACTGCTGAGGTGGGGAAAATTGCTCCTAATTATATTGCAATTACTGAAACAGCCCTACTATATAATGGTCTTATTTGTTCTACTTTGGTACCTTCTGACCCTAATAAGAAGCTAGACCTCCTCAAAGACACAGGGTAGCAAAGCCCCCCTGAAGTGAGGGGCATTCTGTGAGGCACCCAACATTGCCAGGGCCTGTATTCACCCCTTAAAGAGCAGGAAGTGGGCACAGCACCCATCTGCGAAAGGTGCAAGTCTCATCCTTACAGGGAAAGGTGGACGCTGGCTGTCAGAGCCAAACACCTAGCCTTGACTTGGCCTGAACTCGGCCATTGCTTGCCTCCCAAAAGCTGTGGAAATTCCCTCTTTCCTAATCTGCTTTTCTGTGGTGCACAGCTGGACCAGAAGTAGCTTACACACACATGTCAGCTTTTACAAAGTGCTTTTTCACATAAGAGTCACTTTGTTCCAGGGGCCCTAAGTCTAATGTGGAGGTTTGTAGAGAAAAACTGAGTGTAAGATAAATTAGCCTTCAAAATTTCTGCAATTAACCAAAAAGAATACCATACAGATACATCATTTCTCAGTAAGACTAATACAACTAATTTTTCCTCTGCTGTTGGAACAAATCACTATTTCTTCCACTAAGATGAAGTGCTGAACTACATTTAGAGATCTTGTACAAAAAACAAACAAAAAGTATCTTTAAACACCACAAACACACATATAGCTAAGCCACTGTGGCTAAACTCTCGTAAGTTACATGTGCATATGGTATACTCTGCTGAATCTCATTTTATCTTTACAACTACACTTGTGAGCCAGGTATGATTACTGCCATTTCACAGACCTAGAAACTGAAGCTAGACTTAAACTCAGGTCCTTTGAATCTAAACTCGGATCACTATTTTAAGTTATTATCTATTTACTTATTTTCTAGCACATGGTCTTCCAAAAAGGATTTCAGGAAGATTCTCTTATTGTTCTCAATCCCTCCCAGCTGCCTCGATTACAGAATTCTGCACTGCACAACAGATTTTAACCTGTGGGCAGAACCTTTCTGAGCCTGACAGATCATCAGAGTTTCTTAGATTTATTGTTAATCCACAGTACCATGCCACCTCTGCAAAAGCTAAAAAGCAAGGTTTCACTCCAAGTTGAATACAGAGTTCCCATGAGTTGCCTCTCAAGGTTCTCTTGATGAGAATATTTCTGACTGAGAAGGAGGCATTAGGGAGAAAAAGAAAGCTACAACAATCTGTACATTAACTGAAAGTATAATCTTTCATTGAAAAGGTAGGTTTCTATGGGTTTAAAAGTGAGTCTGACCCATCTACACCTAAGATTGCCCCTGGTAAGACAGCCTCTATCTAGAACCTGTGGTTCCCAGCCCTGGCTTCATATTAGAATCACCTGAGAAACTTTTTAAAAGCATCAAGGCCTCCCCCTAGAGATTTTCATTTAATTGGTCAGGTGGGGTCCTGGCCTCAAGTAAATTTTGAAAGCTCCTTGGTGATTCTAAAATGCAGCTGGGGTTGAGAACACGAACCTACAATGTACTGGACATTATGTTGGCTCTTTCATTATTTCAATTAATTCTGGTAACCATATCATGAGGAAGACAATATCAGGAAAATTAAGTTGTGACCCCCAAATCCCAAAGCAAGTAAGAGAGAGACTTGAATCCAGGACCATTGGACCCCAAGGTCCAAGCTGGTGGCAGCAGAGTTTATGCGGCTGTGGTCAGAGTGTGGAGTCTGCTTGGGGTGGAGAATGGCTCACTGCTGCCAAGACAGCCCCATCTGTTCCTGGCACTAAGAACACTCCGGTTCTGTAGGCCCTCCTCGCTAAGAGGGAGGAGGAGAAGGCTTCTCGAGACTGGCTGCGAACAGAGAGGGCCGAGATGAGGCGGATGGAGGTGGAGAGGAGGAGAAGGGAGCAGGAGGAACAGAGGTGGCTCCAGCAGGAGCAGCTGGAAAGAGCAAAGAAGATGAAGGAAGAGCTGGAGCTGGAGCAGCAGAGACGTGCAGAGGAGATCCGGTGGGTTGGGCCACCAGAAAGACTACGGCCATGTTAGGAAACAGAAGGCAAGGGTGGGTTCTGAGGCTCATGCCCTGAAGTGAAACAGCATTATGTCATTTTTCTCTATCCTCAGGTATCCTAGGAAGAGATAAGATGCATGTCTTGACCATAAGGGTTACTCAAGACAGATGTTCAGGGGATCTCCTTGGGAAGGCTTTCAGATGCAGTTCAGCCAACATTTGCTGAGCTCCTGCCATGCTGTCTGCATTGTGCTAGGCCCTTTCACAGGCTTTGACTCTAATTTAATCTTCACAAAACCCTGTGAGGCAGCAGTTTCAAAATCCATCTAATAAGGATGGAAAATGAAGCTCTGAGAAACGAAGGCCCCTACCCCAGAGCACAGAATTGTGCTGAAACTTCTAGCTTCTAGTTCCAGGCCCATTGTGTTCTCACCTCTGCTCTTCAATCCTTGGATTTCCAAATCCTTGGAAAACCTGGCTTCCTCAGAATGGGATGCTCCCTGTGGCCTGTGGGCACAAAACCTCCAGCCAGGGAGCTGCCTGTTGGCTTGTCTCACAGGATGCACCAGCATTTTCTGCCATTTCCCTGATCATCTTGTGTTTTCTCAGCGTGAGGAAACAGAGACTCGAAGAACAACAGCAGCAGCACGAGGAGAAGGAGAAAAAGCAGCAGCTCCAGTTGCAAGCGGCCCAGGAGAGAGCCCGGCAGCAGCAACAGGAGTTCCGGAGGAAACTGCAAGAACTGCAGAGAAAAAAGCAGCAGGAAGAAGCCAAGAGGGCTGGTGAGGAGGATTCTTGAGATCTTTGTTCATCTCTTTGGGACAGAAATTATCCCATTGCAGGTGTTCATTTATTCCTATCCTAGGCCTTAGGGTGTGAAACACTCTAAATGTATGAGCTAATTTTTTTCAAAGTGATTATTATGTAAGACTATAGTGAGTTGATATAGAAGCTCAGAATAAGAAAGGAAAGACTCAGGGCCGGCCCGTGGCTCACTCGGGAGAGTGTGGTGCTGGTAACACCAAGGCCACGGGTTCGGATCCTATATAGGGATGGCCGGTTGGCTCACTGGCTGAGTGTGGTGCTGACAACACCAAGCCAAGGGTTGAGATCCCCTTACCGGTCATCTTTTTTAAAAAAAAAAAAAAGAAAGGAAAGACTCACTTGTGGAAATGACACCGGGTCCCACTCTCAATTCAGTATTCTCCTGAACTGGAACCTTGCCTATCTCTTTGCCCTTGGAGCATTGCTCAGGAGATACCTAAATTGGAGACACAACCCTCCTCCTGCTTCCTTCCCTAGCAGATGGAAACAACAAAAGACATCTGGATAGCTTCAGGGCAGACTTTCAGGTGCAGATGTGTGAACTCTATCCAGCCTCACTTTTGAGGAAAAGGTAGAAACTTCACTGTGACCACTTGCTGGTTCTGGCTTTTTAGACTGGTCAGTCTGACTGAGTAAGCACCAAGTTTCTCTAAACCCTGACCTGACACCCCTCCCCCACCAGCTGCATACCACTCCATGAACACACAAGGCTCTGGAAAATACTTCCCCAAAGATTTGTATTAATTGTATGGTGCATTGCACATAGTAGGTGCTTGATAAAGGATTCTTAAATTAGTAAGTTAACTCCCAAGGTAATCCCCACAGAGGATCTGGCAGCCTGCTGGCAGATAAACTGCAGAATCTCTCAAGGGGAGTCCCTGGGAATCACAGACTTGAGAGTTGGATCAGAAAACTGTTTTCCCCAGTAATAAGCCATGCTGAGCCTACCCCTTTTTCTTTTCTGCAGAGGCAGAAAAGCAAAGGCAGAAGGAATTGGAAATGCAGTTAGCAGAAGAACAAAAACGCCTGATGGAAATGGCTGAAGAAGAACGAATAGAGTACCAGCTGCGGAAACAGGAAGCAGAAGAAAAGGCTCGACTGGAGGCAGAAGAGAGGAGGCAAAAGGAAGAGGAAGCAGCAAGGCTGGCTCTGGAGGAAGCCATGAAACAAGTCCAGGAACGAGCCAGGTACTGGACAGTGGGGCAACAGCTGCCACAGAGATTGTTCAAGGGCTTGACAGTCTGGTGCTAGTGCTAGCCTTGTACTGCCTTTGCCAGTTTTCCCGCCCCCCCATAAGCATGGTTTGGAAGACTAAAACACAAAGAATGATTCTTTTGCTGCAAACGTCACACGATTTCTTCATGGCTTAGAACATGTATTGAAGCTGGAAGGGAGTTTAGAGATTATCTATCTCAATCCTCTGGTTTACTGATGAGAAAAGTAAGTCCCAGAGGAAGGATCTTGAATCACAGCAGTATAGCGATTTAGAGGCAGTGCCAGGACCAGATCTAAGACCCCCTGATTCCAAACCCACTGCCTTCCTCAATATTTATTGAGAGCCTATCATGTGCCAAACACTGTTGTCAATACTGGGAGTTCAGGAGTAAACAGGATAGACAAGATTTCTTCTCTTGTGGCATTTATGTAGTAGGGGAAAAGGCGAGGGTTGGGGTGGGGAGACACTCTAAACAAATAAAAATAAAGAGTTTCTTTTTTTTAGCTAGCAATAAATGCTATGCAGAAATTTTTTTTTTTTCCTTTTTTTTGTCTTTTTTCGTGTCCGGCAACGGATCGCAACCCTCAGTGTCGCACCCGTACCAGACCGGGACCGGCAACGGGATCGCAACCCTCGGTGTTGCGGCCGCACCTCGCTCAGCCAGTGAGCGGGAACCGGTCTGTATGTGGGATCCGAACCCTCGGCGGGAGCGCCGCCGCACTCCCAAGGTACAGTGCGCCACCGGGCCGGCCCAGAAAATTTTTAAAGATGTTATAGGATTGCAGGAAGCTTATTTTAGGTTGTTGGTCAGGGCAAGTCCTCTAAGAGGTGTCACATAAGGTAAGACTTGAATGATGAGGAGTTAGCCACATAAACAGTTGGGAAAAAAATATTCCAGCAAGTAAATAGTAAGTGCAAAGGTCCAAAGAAAGAAATGAGTGGCATGTTGGAAGAATAAAAGAAAGTCAGCATGGCTGGAATGAAGTGAACAAGGGGCAAAAAATACTTCCAGATGAAGTTAGAGACACAGGCCAAGACCAGATCTAATAAGGGCCTTGTTAGAAGCACAGAACCAAAGTCATCAGGGACTTTCCCTCCTTATACTCCTACAATAATAATGATGATTGCATCTCTCCGATAATAGACTTTGAGTAATGTGGTTTCAACTGCCTTTAAAACTATGTCCTCTATAGTTGCGACATCATGAATTTCCTTAGTGAGAGCAATAGTAATTCCTCCTTAGAACCATCAAAATAGAGGGTAAAGAGGCACAACCCAGGAAATCGTGTGATTCCAACCTTAACTGTAAATAGTATTCCCCTTGAAATGTATTTTCCACAACTTAAGCTTAAGCTAATAAATACTCTTTAGGGGACCAGAAAGAGAAGGCAGCCAGAACAACTCTCAATATCAAGGTTTTCTGCTAAACTTGAGTTGTTCCTTGGACTTTCCTTAGCTGTTTCGTGAACTACAAAATGGATCATTAGGAAAGTCCTGATTCAATTTCAAAATTATGTATTCCATTTTATCATAGCAGCAGGTTCCTAAGTATTAAGACCAAAAGCAAGCTATTGGAGTTCTAACCTTCCACGAACAGAAAACTGACAGTCATCTGAGTGGAGCAGAAAACCAAGTAACTGAAGGGGTGGAAGGATAGAGCCTCACTCCACCAAGGGTTAGGAGAACTTAATGCCAAATGGCTTTACTTCATCTTCACTTGCATGACATTAGCCCAGGTATTTTAACTTCTCTGGCCTGTTTCCTCATCTCTAAAACAAAGGAGTTCCTTCTAGCAGTACAAGTTTAACTGTGAATTATGCTTTTCCTTTTACTTTTCCAATAGGAGGCTCATGACACCCTAAACCTCATATGTAGTTATTAAACAAACACCGTGATCTTACACTAGAACGTTAGATCAACAACTCCAAGTCTAACTGATGATTATTCATAAACAAGTAGAACTTTGGATATAAGGACAATTTCTAGGATGCTTAATCATTGTTGGAACTGGGGGTGGGGTTGTCTCCTTAGGCAAAAAGCTGCTTTGGAGAAACATCTTCGTTTCCATCAACAACTCCATAAGGAAGCCAGTGGTATGCAGTGGACACAGAATATTTCCAGACCATGGATTTACTCTTATTTCCAGTTCCTACCAACACCCAGGCCTTAAGGCTAGAAGAAGACTAAAAAGTAAGTTGGTAGGTGGTGACAAAAAAAAAAAAAAGAAACTTCCTTTTACAACAAAGTTCCATCCTGAGCCCAATTAGTTCTATTTCATCTGGTTCACCTCAACCCACACCTAAGATTTTCTCTACTCTGGAACCTCCATTCCCATTACTTCTTCATACCACTCACACTTCATTCAACCCAATTAAACTCTTATCTCACCTAAATCTTTTATGTTTTCTAGAACCATATAAATCCAGAAGCTGATGCCTAAAACTGCCCATGATTTCATAATTTCAATTTGAAACACTAACATGGTCTTCTTAGGATAGTCCAAGTATTTAATTTGTCAGTGTGTCTGAAAGAGTTGTAGATAAATGGAAATTTTGTAATGCAATATATTCATATATTAAGAATTTTATTATAAGTCCCTTAAAGCGAAACCACAACCACTTCCTTCTAAGAATCTAAAATTTAATGTGTATTTAGAAGATATGTTTGCAATCACTTGATAAATGTTCATTTGAGCAAAATGAGCTGTTTTGTGAGACTATTCTTACATCCTCAAATTATAAGTTCTAGAGCTGCACTGTTAAATAAGGTAGCACCAGCCACCTGTAGCTATTATCAACTTAAATTCAAACATTCTTCAGTCACAATAGCCACATTTCAAGTGTTCAATGACCACATTTGGCTACTGGCTACTGTATTGGTCAGAACAGATACAGAACATTTCCATCATCACAGAAAGTTCTACTGGACAGTGTTATTCTAGAGTCCAGAAAATGAACAAATCTTGAATTTTTGCTAACTGTGCCTTGAAAAACTCTCATAACATTTCCCCATTTAAAAAAATCATGCTGACTTTCAGGAAGAGATTTGATTAAATAATTTATCTTTAATATCTCTCTAACATCCCTTTTAACAAAATATCATAGAATGATCATTAAAAGGGATGAAAGAGCTTTAGCAAACAAGACATATTCGTATAAAAGGATATTAAATCAAGTACTATCTAAACCTGAATTCTCCCGCAAATTTCCTTTGGCTCTACTTTATACATCACTGTCCATAGCTGAAAAGCTTAATATTTACAGGTAATTCCTTCCAATTTCTTATTAGTGCTCATAGTATTTGCTTTCTGCAGGAATTGCACCTCTATGACCCAGAAATCAAGCTTAATTTGAATTCTGTAATACTGTGTTATCTGGGCTTGCTTAGTTAGATTTCATGCTTATTTTAACTCATTTTATGTAAAATTTATTAGAAACAAAATGGCCAAGACGCTGGATAATATCAGTCACAGTGAATTCAAATATGTCATTTAAACTTTTTCTCAAGCCTGTCAACCCTACTTGCACATTCAATCAATTAACCGTACTTAATCAGATAAAAAAGGAACATCTCAAATAATTCAACCAAAAATAGAATGAACACTCAAAGAAAACATCCTTGTGAAGGAAATTACCATTACTGACTTTATTTTCTCCCTTCATTTACAAATTTAGGATGTCGCAATCAAGCACCACAGAAGAGTGGCTACACTAAATGTTATTGAAGGTCCCTTCCAAATCTGATGTTCTATTAAATTTTTGCTGTGAAATGCCGATTTTATCAGCACATCAAATAAGCACATTTTTAAGTTAACCATAGCAGAGTGCAATGCGTCTAGAAGAATCCAATAAACTAAAAACAAGAAAATTACTTTCCCAGTAGCTAAGCTTCACCACCTAAATGCTGAGAGACTTCAGAGACTTAGAGACAAACAAAACTGAGATCCCAAACTACATATTCAAGCATTCTCAACAGCTCAAACAGCCAATCAGATGTTATTCAATATTGACAGAAATATCCAACTTATGAGGATTTTCTAAAAATGGGCCTAATTCCTAGTCACTACTTAATGAATATAATGACAAATGCCAGGTGACAGTCCAGAAGCTCTAATTTACACAATACAAATGATTTTTCAACTAGGATCAAATACAAGAATTTAAAAGATCGAGCCAACCTATTTTTCGACAAATGACTTGAGTAAGGGATGTTAAGCTGTAACAGTTGATAAAATGCATTCAAGATAGGTTTGAAAAATGACTTGAGTAAGGGATGTTAAGCTGTAACAGTTGATAAAATGCATTCAAGATAGGTTTTATTTGCTCTTCTCAAGTAGTCAGATGACATTCTATTATAACATAACAAAATTGGATTATGTGTGTGTATAGATATACCAAATTCTGTGATTCGTTTAAGAATTAAAAGGAAAAGTTAGGCCCTCTAGTAGGAACAAATTAATTTGGTATTTTAATTTTATACAAAGTTTAAATATTTAGGATATAAAGAAATAAAAGGAAAATATAAACAAAATATACCAAACTTTAAGCAGAGAACATTTTGTAAATTGTTAAAGGGAGAACTGAAGTTAGCAATATAAATCAATTAAGAATTTTTGGAGTACCCAAATTCAACCTAATTTGGTAACTGTACCAAATATATACATTATACAAGAATATCAAGATTTAAAAACAGAACACTGAATATTTAAAAAGGTATTGTGGCCTTAATTAAATCCTTGATTCAGAAGGCACTTCAGTAACTTTCAGTGCTTCAAAATCATTATCACTGTATAGTACTGAAGAAAAAAAATTGTACAGTGTGCAAACAATTTCCAGTATTATGAAAGAAAACCTTATTTTAGGCATTTTCTTTTTTCTTCTATACAATTAAAATAAAATGAACATTAGTAAGGTTTTTACAAATATTGTTTATTTTAATGAAGCTGGTACAGACAATGTCCATTTAAAACCCATATCCCAGGCCAAAAAGTACAAATAAAATCAAAAAGAGCAGTGTTCTGTTGTATATACTTCTGCATGAATAACTTTAACAACTGCTAATGAAAATCAGAACTTTTCTGGGATCTTCTGACAAGATTTTTTTTAAATCTTAAAATGCTTTCTCTTCACTGAAGCCATCTTTGGAGTTAGTCATTACTGTCATCATATCTGTCATCTCGACTCCAACTTGATATTCTTTTGGTCCAGACCCTCAGATTTTAAAAGTAGCTTCAGATTAAGGAAAGGTCATTTTTCCACAGTTCAGTTCTCTGAGAAACTTCCATCTCCTACTGAATAGTCACAGTCCAGGAGTGAAGCAGTCACATGCCAGAACTTCAGGGCCAGCTGGAAAGTCATTGTGAACACTCACATTGGTTGATCTTATTTATCACCACAAGCCTGAAAATGAACAGTCCTGAAAAAAGTGGCCACTCTGTGCACACATGTAATTTTTAAAAAGGAGAAGGCAATATGAATGGGGCTGAGGCTTGATCACCAAAAATCAACACAATGAAAAAAAAAGATAATGAATAATGAGCACTAAAATTCAAATTACCAGATGTTTTAAAGAGATGGGGTGCCAGTTTTCAATTCCTCTTTGAACACCACGTTACAAAAGAACTATTTTTAAAAATAAAAAAGGATTGAGGGAAAAGAAAAAAAATAAAAAGAATATCTAAATTGTCGAATGACCCCCCGTTTGTTCCTGATAAACTTCAATCACATCTTCTTCCTCCATGCCCAGCTATAAGAGGAAAGAAAAATATGTTAGTAGTAGAATATAAAAACACTATTTAAAATTGGCTGCAATTATGTGGCCACCATTTTAAAGGTCAAAAAGATACAAAAGTGATCCATAGTTACACTCCTCCTCTAAGATTAAGAATGCTGTTTCCTTTAATCTAAAGAATACAGAGGTATGTCTTTCCTGCAGAGTCTATGTCTATCCAGTCATTCGTCTGACTGTCCTGAATAAATTTCACTTTCTAGTTTATTCACTATATAAAACTGAAGTGTTTTTGACAAGTGCATTAAAGAAGTTTTAAATCTAATGAAATGTGTAGTTAATAGCTTAAATAACAGTTTGATGGCATATTTTCTAAAAAGCATATTTACTTTTAGATGTAGTTATATGATAGAATCTCATTTCTTTCAAAAAACTTGATTTCACTTTAAAATACATGTGGTTTTAGGGGCTGGCCAATTAGCTCAGTTGGTTAGAGCATTGTGCTGGTAATACCAAGTTCTGGGGTTTGATCCCTATACCAGCCAGACCACCAAAATAAAAATAAAATATTTGTGATTTTACTTAGAAAAATACTGCCTAAGGATTCATTTCTAAGTGGTTCACATGTCACCTACAATTCCTTTTGGTATATAACTATTATTTTCTTTGACAGTGACCTCTCAATGCAAAAAACTTATCTGAAGGGAACTGAGGACATCAGAAGTGGGAAAAGGGAAGGACGTTAGGGAGAAATTGGTAAAAGGCCACAAAAAATGTTTATATTGTGTAATGATAAAATGAAAAGATATTTTCTTAAAAAACTTATCTGTACATCTACTCCTATTCAATACCTCTGGTTTTATAACCTACATTTTTCAGCTCATCCTGTCTCAATTCTTGCAGGAAAAAAAGGGGGTCCTTTCAAATGCTTTTTACAGAACATTAAGCATGAGCAATTTTTTTTTTTTTTTATTGTACTTTATATGCACTGAAATACTCTGGAATTTTTTTCCTGAAGACACTATTAACAACGGCTGCCCCTGAGAAATGGGAATGCAGAGGTACTCAGGATATATTTACTTCCCATTTTATATGTTTTGATAGTATGGATTTTTATTACTTTTATTCTTAATTATGAGCATTCTTTACTTAAAAAAAGAAAAGACAGTACATGAGGCAGCATGATATCACACAGAAACCAGACATCATCCTCAGGTAAGGATAAAAGACTGAATCTGTTGAATGTGGTGTACAGCCAGGGCTGAGAAACACTGTAACAGGCAGACTGAAAACAAAAACTACATTGTTTCTGCTGAAAACTACAATGGATCACAAAAACAAATGAAAAATAAAATTTTAAAGGAAAGCCTAAGATCAGTAAACTCCAATGAGAAAAGTTTTGTATTTTATAGGTGATATTTTTGTGCAGAATTACAGAATATGAAAATTAAAATGTTAAGAAATCTAGGGCCGGCCCGGTGGCGCACTGCTATAGTGCGCCGCTTGGGAAGCGCAGCGGCGCTCCCGCCGAGGGTTCGGATCCCACATACAGACCGGCCGCTCACTGGCTGAGCAAGGTGCGGGAGCAACACCGAGGGTTGCGATCCCGTAGCCGGTCCCAGTCCGCTACGGACGCGACACTGAGGGTTGCGATCCATTGCCGGTCACGAAAAAAAGACAAAAAGGAAAAAAAATGTTAAGAAATCTAAAAATAACAGATTTATATAGATTTAAGATTTTAAAGTGATCAGATTGGCTCTAGTTTTAAGGCTGTCTTGGTCGTGGTACATACATGAGGAGTCATCAAAAAAATTCATGGAAAAGTTCGAATTGTCTTTTAATTCTATTTTTTCCATGAACTTTTTGAAGTACCCATGTATGAATATTAAAATAATTATTAATTAGAGATGCTATTAAAACTTAGTTTTAATTGCACATATAGCCTGATAAATACAAGGAATAAAATTCCAAACATTATAAGGAACCTTCAAATCAGAAAGACAGCACATGTCCTCAAGCTATAGAGACTATGAAGCTACAAGCTTCCAGAAGTACATTAGCAGAGACAAGTGAACAACAGCACAAGTCACTCCCTAAATACCTGCTCTCTCTTACTGCCCCAACATTCTTCTGAAAAGATAATCTCTTAATTACAGTGAGGAAAGTGTCAGTAAAATGTATTAAGTATCTACATGTGCCAGAGATTATATGCCAAGTTAGGAAAAGGAAAGTACAAGATGAGTTTGGAACATCTTATCGGGCCAGAAAATGAGGAAGTGCTGAAGAAAGTACTAAACTTACGTGGAATGTTTGATGAGAAAGAAGACAGTCACACAGTTTCAAAGTATGTCCCTAAAATTACTTAATTACAACAGAAAATATAGGAACTACACAGTAGAGAAAAAAGAACTACGTGATCAAAACTAAACTTAAACTAAGTGATCAAAATTAACATCACCAATAAGGCGCTTCATGTGCTCCAGATACTATATACCCTGAGAAAGACACATCACCATTTATGTAGTATTCCAGCCAAAAATACATTGAATCTAGTCATGAAGAAACAAACAAGCTCAAACTGAAGGACTTTCTAAAAAGAAAACCGAAAAAAATAAAATAAAAATTTTTAAAAATATTAAATAAATAAATAAAAAGAAAACTGGCTTGTACTTTTTAAAAAATATCAGATAGGGCCGGCCCGGTGGCGCACTGGAGAGTGCGCTGCCTGTGGGGGCGCTCCCGCCGAGGGTTCAGATCCCATGTGGAGACCGGTTCCCGCTCACTGGTTGAGCGCGGTGCGGGCGCAACACCGAGGGTTGCGATCCCGTTACCGGTCAGTAAAAAAGACAAAAAGGAAATAAATAAATAAATAAATAAAAAATATCAGATAAAAAAGACTGAGGAACTGTTCCAGATTAAAGGAGCTTAAAGAGGCATGACAACTAGTTAGAATGCATATCATAGACGGGTCAAGTAAATATGGCTATAAAGGACCTTACAGGGATAAACAGCAAAATCTGACTATCTTAACCACATATTCAATAATAATACTGTATCCATATTAAATCTCCTAAATTTGATAACTGAACTATGGCTCTTAGGAAATAACACACTGAAATATTTAGGGATAAAAGGTCATGATATCTGCAACTTAATCTCAAATGATTCAGCAATAATGACATAGAGTGATAAAGCAAATGCAGCATAATTATAATAACTGGTAAATCTAGAGAAAAGGTATACAGGAGAATATTCTACTATTATCACAATCCAATAAGTGTGAAATGTTGTCAAAATAAAAAATCAATAATAACAATACATCATTCCCACTATCAGAAACATCAGAAATGTTATTTTGTATATGGAGGGGGGAAATCTGTGTATATACATACATATGCACATACATACACAAATACATGCACAAATACATGCACTTTACTTTGAGATGTCTCTACTGGGGGGAGAAGGTGAAATATATAAGCAAAGAAAACAGTCCATACTATAAAACAATTAAATGAAGACACAGAAGTATTTTTTTAATAAATGAAACAAGATGACAAAGCCAAACATATTAATATACACTAAGCTGTATTAACATTCTGAAAATCGCCAAAAATCAGAAATCCAACCATTAAGGTCACCATCACCATGAAAGTACCAGAAATCTGCCAAATTGGAAGAATATCTGTCCATATTCAAAAAAGATAGCGTATATGCCTTATGGTAGTTTCAGTATTCAATTCCCAGTTTCTTCCTCCCTTTTATTGGCTCTTTTGAAGGCAATATATGGGAAGTTCAAAACAAAAGATTATTTTTTCCTCTCTGACAAATAATATACCATTTAAATCAGAGAATATTCAACAAAGGGGCAGTTTAATACCAGTGAACCAAATCATTAAGAGAATTTAAAATTTTTCTGGATTCAGACAGAAATTATACTCACTTCTTTTGGAGTATGATTATCAGCAATTCTCTGACCTTCAAAGAGAAACCTGAGTGAATTCATTGGAACTCCCTAAAAAGGTAAAATATAAAAATTAAAAATATATATACGTACAAACATACACACCCAAATCTTAGAAGACATAATAGGAACTTTGATGCACAAAAAGCAAGCATGAAAGACTTAACAAGCTACACAGAACATAAAACTAGATAGCTAGCTGGAATCAGCCCAAATGTCCCTCATCTGATGAGTGGATAAGGAAACTGTGGTACATCTACACAATGGAATACTACTCTGCTATAAAAAAAGAATGAAATGCTACCATTAGCAACTATACGGATGGACTTAGGAAAAATGATAATAAGTGGAACAAGTAAGGCACAGAAAGAGAAATACCACATGTTCTCACTTATTTGTGGCAGCTAAAAAATTAATTAATAAACATACAAACAAATAAGGGCGGAGCAGAAGACAATAACTACAAAAATTCCTTGAACTATTTAAGTCAAGAGAACAGATATGACGTGGGTGGAGGAAGGGAGGGCGTGGAGAGGAACGGGTAAAGGGACATGATAATCAAGTACAATGTATTTTGAGAAGTAAAATAAAAAAATATATATGTGAAGCAAAAAAATAAAATAAAACTTATCCTTCTGATAAATGCACGTTTGAATATGCATTAGTATAAAAAGAATGCATTAGTAAACTTCTAGTTTAAAATTACTACATAAACGGGCCAAGCCTGTGGCGCACTCGGGAGAGTGCAGCGCTGGGAGCGCAGCAGTGCTCCCGCCGTGGGTTCAGATCCTATATAGGGATGACTGGTGCGCTCCCAGCGCTCACTGGCTGAGCGCGGTGCGGCCAGTCTCAAAAAGGACAAAAAAAATAAATAAATAAATAAATAAATAAATAAATAAATAAATAAAAATAAAATTACTACATAATAAAAGGGCCGGCCCGTGGCTCACTCGGGAGAGTGCGGTGCTGATAACACCAAGGCCCCAGGTTCGGATCCTATATATGGATGGCCTGGTTGGCTCACTTGGGTGAGCACGGTGCTGACAACACCAAGCCAAGGGTTAAGATCCCCTCACCAATCATCTTTTAAAAAAAAAAAAATTACTACATAATATAAAACAATATGTATCTTGAGAGCTGATATAGCAAGTAAATAAAGTCATTTTATTCAGAGGAAAAAAAAAACAGATAGCTAATTCTATCATAATTACCATACATTGAGTACCAACTATCTGCTAGGCCCTCTCTGTACCAAGTTATTTACATACATAATCATAAATGTTCATTGCAACAACCCTGGAAGGCAGGTATTATCATCTTCATTTTACTGCTAGAGAACCTAAGGCTTAGAGAAGCTAGCCATGAATTTAAGCCCAAACCCGTTTCTAAGCTTGTGCTCTAGACCACTGCTCCATTCATTTTCCCCTTAAATCTGTGAGCTAGCATAAAAGATAAAAATCAGAAACCGCATAAGCACACTCACTAGCTTCCAATAGTACAAGCAAAATTGTTTTTGTAAGCAGATTAAATCAAAGAAATTTGGCAAAGCACGATAGCTAGCCAGATAAGCTACAGTAAACCTGTTATGGTGTTATGAGTATTACAACAGATATTAATATATATTTTTGATCACTTATTCAATAATGACAGCTAAAAGGGGGAAAGATAACTCATTTAAAGGAAAATAACTTCACTAGTAAGTACAAATCAAAAATAATTTATTATGGCCAAAGGTATTATGAAAGTTTTGCTCAATAACTAATATATTAAGACTTTAACTATGGGTGTTTATATACAGTGTCCTCAGAACATCCAAAGAAATTACAACTATTTTTCAATATACACTATTACATAAGTATTTGAGACCATACAAACTTACCCTTCATTTGATTTAAATTCTTTCCAAGTTTTTATTAAATAATAAAATAAATATAACTGACAAAGGCAGAATATTTTTTGATATATATATAATTTTTTAAAAAACATATACTGAGTTCAAAAAAATCTCTATTAGAAACCAATCTATAAAATAAAAATGGCAAATAAAAGTAGTAAAATGATTCAATAAATATTTAGTTTATATGCAGCTTTTCAATCTCTCTCTCATGGGTAAGTTTTGCACGGTTCAAATAAATTAAGTTTCCTGTTCCTTGTATATCATTAAACCTAAGAAAAAATTATCAAGCCTCTGTGAACTTAAGTATAAAAACAGTTTTCTAAAGACATAAAGTACACTCTTAAGCATAAAAAAGAACTTGGAAATGACTCTAAATTGATGTTATATTTTAATCACCTCCCAAAACCTAGCTAGCACCTTCAATTTGGGGTAAGTTTACTTTTCACTTTAGCTTAGTGGTTTAACTTCTTTATTTTATACTACTTTTCCTCAATAATCAATTCCCTCGTCTACAGATGGGATGAAAGACTATATGAATTTTCTTCAGAGTTGTTGTGAGGGCTGAATGATAATGTATCTTAAGTACCTATAGTACAGTCAGTGTACATAGTGAGTATTCAATAAATATTCCTTTCCTCTGGTGAATTTCAGGTCAACTTTAGCTCCCATCGAAATTATTACAAATATGAATTAGCTGAACCCTAATTAATGAGATTTTACTGAGTTTAACAATTAAAATCTACAAAAACAGAGAGACAAAAATGTTTGTCTTACTTATCCTAACACCTAATCTTTTTTCTTCTGACAAAAATTATTTTTAAGTTACAAATTTAAACTGTTAAAAGCAAACCTTCTAAAAATAAAATCTATAAAACCTGAGTTAATATCATATAATACAATTCAATTTTTATAGAGACTGATTAAACATAGTTCTTGCCTATTAATTTAAATCATAATTTCAGTTAAAAATATACCTTCGCTCCTACTTATATTTAATATATATTATTAATTTCAATTACATTTATTTTAAAAATCTATTTTATTATTAATAATAATAATAATGGGTAACATTCATTGAGCATTTTAGGCACCACATTAAGAGCTTTATGTAAGTTATCTCATTTCATCTTCATGAGTGAGGCACTACAATATTCTCATTTTACTGAAGGGGAAACAAGGCACATAGAGATTAAATAATTTACCCAAGGTTGCACAGCCAGACAGTGGTGGAGCCCAAATTTGAATCAGGAAGGTTCAAAGAGTTAGTTATTGATCTAATAATCTAGTTCATGAAGACCAGAATCTGTGAAGATTTGGTATTAATAAATTAACTAGACTTCTACACAAATTTTTTTTAAGAAGAGAAAATTTCTTGAGGTTGAAAATATGGAATGCAATTAGCAGCAATCTGCAGTACTATATACAAAGATAATATACTAATAATATTGATACTTAAATTTAACATATGGCTAAACACCTATTGCTAGAAGTACAAAGAAATTTCATAGTAATCACCAAAAATTACTTGCCTTTATTATTATGTACTTGATGTTATAGAAACATTCATTTGAACTGTCTTTACAACTCTAAGTTATTCTTCAAGCTAGTCCCACATCTTATTGATTCAAACTTAGAAACAGGCCGGAAGAGGGAAAAGGCAATTAAATAGGGTATAAGAAATGATTAAATTGGAGTGTTTTCCTTGAGTTGCAAATGGTGAAAATAATAAAACAGAATTATTTTTCTTTTGACAACCTTCTGTAAAAGAAAAATTAAGGACAAAGCATTATATTTAATACCACAATATACAAACCTGTCTTTGACAGTATGATTCTTTGAGTTTCTTGAGATGTGTTGTCATTTTCACTTTGAAGTGAATCTCACTGCTATCCTAAGGAGATAAAAGAAAAAATTTATCTCTGTATGTATAAACTATTTGCTTTGCTTAAACCAAATTATTTATACATATAGTACAAATGGAAATATAAACCTTGTCACCTATATTTTTCTACCAAAATATTCTTTTTGCATTCCTTACAGGTTTTATTAAAACACTCTAAGCACCCTCGTAGTTGCTTTATACCCATTACAAAAGAAATTTAATAATCTGTCTTGGGTGTTAAAATTAGCAGTATAAGTATGTCAAAGAATGCATTTCATAACACAAAGGTTTCGATCCCTGTACTGGCCATCCAGGGAAGAAAAAAAAAAAAAGATCATTCCTTCATTACAACAAGCCCATCCTATTGTCAAAATAAAAGATGAATTATCACAAACACCCAAAAGCAACTCAAACAAAAAGTACCCCCCCTCCAACTGAAGTGTCACTGAAGACAGGTCAAACCTCAGAGAGAGAAATATACCATAATATAACATTACATTAAAATAACTGAAGGACTGGCCCATGGCTCACTTGGGAGAGTGCGGTGCTGATAATACCAAGGCCATGGGTTCGGATCCCTATATAGGGATTGCCGGTTAGCTCACTTGGGAGAGCGTGATGCTGACAACACCAAGTCAAGGGTTAAGATCCCCTTACCGGTCATCTTTAAAAAATAAATAAATAAATAAAATAAAATAACATAACTGAGAAACTTATTCCTGCCATAAAAAATTCACCCCATGGAATAGTTTCTCTTGCATGAGGAAAATGAACAAGAACCAGAGTCAGTCAAACTGATTTGTGTGACCACAGATTCTTTTCTCCTACCCAGAATGTCAAGCAAACTATCAGACAATAATCAGAAAAAACACTGGCACTTGCATACTGTAAAATTTCAAAGCCAGCCCTTTCTTTTTTTTTTTAAAGATGACCGGTAAGGGGATCTTAACCCTTGACTTGGTGTTGTGAGCACCACACTCACCCAGTGAGCTAACCGGCCATCCCTATATGGGATCCGAACCCCGTGGCCTTGGTGTTATCAGCACCGCACTCTCCCGAGTGAGCCATGGGCCAGCCCCAAAGCCAGCACTTTCGAGTACAGTCATGCATTGCTTAACGATGAAAATACATTCTGAGAAATGCATCATAAGACAATTTCATTGCTGTGCAAAAGGGTATTATGAAAAGGAACAACAATGAATATTCCTATTATCTACACTGGTCTTAGTTGCATGAGCATGGGCCCTTTAGTTATGTTACTAAGTCACTCTGTGTCTCATTTTCCTCATCTGTTAAATGGGGATTACAATAATACCACCCCCACAAAGTTATGGAAATTAAATTACAGGTAGGGATAGTGCCTGGCACTCAGCAAGGACTCAATGAGTGTTAGCTAACTGTTATTAACTATAATTTTGCTATGGAGATTGGTGAGAATCATTTAAAAATGCAAGAATTCTAAAGGAGACAATAACCCTTTCACTTAGGATCAGATCTAATATGTCAAATGCTTGGCCTTCTCTCTTAAAAGTCTGAACTACCACTGGGAGGATCACCCCCATGTGGGAAAGCTAAGCACTCCTCCTCCACATATTTTGCAGTAGGTTTGTTTACTCTAGCATCACCACAAACACATGACTAATACATTGCGTTATGGACATTACAACAGCTATGACATCATGAGGCAATAGGAATTTTTCAGCTCCATTATAATCCTATAATGTTGTATATAGAGTCCTTTGTCAACCAAAACTTAGTTATGCAGTGCATGACTGTACTAAGGATCTTCAAACAGCTCATGGAAAAATTTGTATTTTCCTTTAATTCCATTTTTCCACAAACTTTTTTTTTTCTAGCAGCTGGCTGGTACAGGCCTCCAAACCCGTGACCTTGTTGTTTGAAGGCTGCACTCTAACCAACTGAGCTAACAGGCCAGCCCACCTCCACAAACTTTTTGAAGTACCCTCATTCATATCATGTTCACAAATGTCTATTAGAAGAAGTTTCATGTTTACAATATTTTTGTTTATGACAATAACTATGAAGAAAAAAATTCTCTTCCCATGGATAATTTCAGGAATAGATAAAATTCTATAGTATACCTCATGCCATATACTAAAATCACTTCTAGATGAATTAAAGAGCTAACATTTTAAAAAAAAGTTTTTCCTCTTCTTTTTAAGAGACAATTTTTTCTCCTAATCTTGGCATTGGGAAGTCTTTATTGTAAAGCAAGATTTTAACCCAGAAACCATAAAAAAAAAGAGATGGATAAATTTGACTTAATAAAAACATGAGCCATCTCTCCAGTAAAAGGTACCATAAACAAAAGTTAAGACACATTAGAGGAAATAGCCACAGCATACACAATAGACAAGAAAAATCCAAATAATATAAAGAATACTTACAAATGGATAGTTCTTAACAAGGTAAACCATGCGTATGGACAGACATATAGATCTATGGCATTAAACTGGGATCCAAAAAAAGAAAAAAACCCATGCCCCTGAAGCATGTTAACCAAGAAAAAGATTCTACTTCAAGAAACTAAGGTGACATAAACCTGCCTAGCAGAGTAATTAAAAAAGCAGTATCAGCCTCTTCCACCTCCAACAGATATACATGTAGTAAATGAAAATGCCATTTTTAAAAAACTTGTCTTACTTAAATCCTGTGTGTAAGAAATTATTCACACATTGGAAGAGAGTCAAAGGAGAAAAATAATGAAACTCACCTGTCCAATGACTTTGAGTTTAATGTATTCTCCTTCCTTCTTATCCCCCAAGTCCTCAGTTGAAGGTTTTGCCTCCTGAAAGAAAAGTAAATTTCAAGTTAAAAGTTCCTATATGCTATTTTAATTACTTACTTATGAATATCCATTACTTTCTCTCTAGGTACAAAATCTGCCTGAGAATACAAAGAGCATTTTTATTTTTCTCTGCCAGTCAATTAAGCAAAAAAGGTACTAAGTCAATTACTGTCCCAAACACCGGTTCACTAGAAATCAAAAAATGGGTCTCTTTTATAATAATAATCACACAGTAATGGTCTTAAACTTTACCATGCATCAAAATCACCTGAAAGACTTGTTAAAACAAACTACTTCCCCACTCCCAAATTTTTTATTCAGTAGGTCTGGAGTGGGGCCAAGAATTTGTTTCTAACAAGTTACCAGATGATATTGATGCTGCTGGCCAGAGGAACATCTTGGAAACCACTGCCCTACTGTCAACTTCTATTAGCCAGAAGGAGTTCATCATCCTCTAAGAATTCTTAGCCAAACACTCTGAATTCAAGATTATCTTCTCACAGCCTGAGGAGTTTACTCCAGTTTCAAAACTGTACTAAGAAATGTAAAGTAATCATATTAGCATAAGCAAAGGCTATTTAGGAAGGAAAACCCAATAGAAATGTACTGGCCTAATGTACTTAAGTCAAATCAGTTCTACATCATCTATTATTTTAGATTATCTGAAGCATTACATCCAAGTTAAGATAAAAAATATTAGGGGAATTGGACTGAAATTAGGAAAAAAGCACAAACGGGGTAAGTACGAAAAGGAAAGAGGAGACAAAAAAAGGAAAAGAGAGAGTTACAAAATAATCTCAAATGAAGGGATACTGAAAAGAAAATGAAGTTAACAGAATAAACTAGTTAAAACATCTCCATCATAAAGTATCTCAGGAATAATAAGTAAACCATTTTTAGTAAAAGGGGTACATCAGAAAATTTCACCAACACTGTGGTAAAAGTAGTTTTTTCCCCCATGTGCTACACACCTTAGTTTAGCCACCAAATTCCCCACTTATTTAAATATATACTCTTTATTATTCATAATAATTTCGAACAGTTAACCCAAACTTGGTAATATAGCTACCATACTGTATTTTACAGGTAAAACAACAAAGCCATTACCTGTGTATCTCATGCCAATAACTTAAAACTATACTAAATTCTTTAACATTCAAAAATTAACATAACATATAAAACTAGAAGTAGCTTTTAAGCTTAAGATATAGGCTAGAGTCTAGGGAAATGCTTAGATAACAGAATTGATTTCATTAGTATGAATTCTTGCCTGTTTTTTATTCTACAGTGCTTTCAAAATTTGCTGACTACTGAATATAATGGAAGCAGGCAAAATTAACCTTCTTTAGCAAGAGAGTATTTCACCTGAAAATTAGAAGACTGTCTTCAAATATAGTCTCACCACCACATTTCTATGAATTTATATTCACAGTAAGCAGCTGCTTCTTCCTTTAAGTATCTAGAGGGCAAAGACAGCTTATTCCATGCAGTGAAGGGCAATAAACAGCAACCAAGCCCTGAGTCCTCTGTAACTGGAAGGAGAGGGGGGTGTTAAGAAGCTTTGTTTAAGTTAGCACAAAGGAGGACAGCCCCCCTCCCCTAGCAGCAATACATCAGCACAATAGGAGTGATTTTGCTCCTGTACCCTAGGTAGAGTAGCTATAGAGGGAGGCTACTCGGGAGAAAATAATTCTTCCCTCTCCTCCAATCCCTCATCCAGTGTTTCAGAACTCTTCTTCTAAAACACAGCTTCTCTGATCCTATAACTACTCACATCAAAAAGTATACATAGCTTCCAGTACTTAAAGGCCTAGACCCAAACTCCACAGCACAGCACTCAGTTTTTCCACCACCAAGCTCAATTCTAATTTTTCTTTCACCACTCTCTTTACAAACCCAAGGATTCTGTTAAATTGGACCTATGTGCTACTCCCCTAATATGTCCCTCAGGATTCTTCCATCTTCAGCCCTTTGAGGCCACACTTTCCTTTACCTGGAATATATACAAGGATTTTCAAAAAGTTCATGGAAAGATTCATACTATCTTTTATTTTTCCATGAATTTTTTAAAAGTACCCTCACATATCCTTCTCTCAGTCTCTCTTGAAATCATCTCAAGGATATCCCACACATCGACTGAAGACCAGTAATTTAAAAAACTCTTCTAAGGGAGATGGCTAGTTAGCTCAGTTGGTTAGAGCACGGTGTTATAACACCAAGGTCAAGGGGTCCCCATACAGGCCAGCCACCAAAAAAAAAAACTCTTCTAGGAACCACAGAACTCACCCAATCTTCCAAATTAGATTAATATCCTCCTTTAATGCTCCTATTTGCAATTTGTTCACATATTTTATGGCATTTATTCTCAACTTAAAAATACCGCCCCCTTGACCTTACTTCTCTAACTATCCTCACCTTTTCTTCATAAACAAACTTCCTATGAGAGTACTCAGAATTTGCTATCCTCACTTTCACTCTCAACCCACTGTAATCTGGTTTACACGCCACCATTCCACTTGATGCTGCCAACACCAACACTTACCAGTTAAACTCCTTATTGCTAAATCCAATGGACACGTTCACATCTCATCTTTAACTCTCTAAAACAATAGACACTGATGACTTCTTCCTAGGAAACTCTCCACCTTTGGCTTTCAAGATTCCATTCTCACCTCACCTCAGCCACTTCCTTAAATGCTGCTCTGCCTCTGAATTGTGCCTTCAAATCTTTGTTTTATCTTTATTTTTTTTTTTTTTTGGTCTCCTTGGTTGTCCCCTGATTACAACTACCTCTCTGATACTAATGACTCGAAATCATTCCCTCCAACCTGACAACTTTACTGTGTTTCACACTCATTTACCCAAGTGCCTGAATATCTCCACTTAGATGTCCCTTGGGTACCTCAACGTGAAAGTTCCAAAACCAAATGCATCCCCTCTGCTTGGAATGCCCTTTCCCACCCTATTCCCCTTTCAAGACCCCTCAGATATCACTTCCTACAATACGATTTCTCTCATCACCCTCTTAAATGGTCTGATACTGCTTGCTTTTATCTATTATAATCACTTGTTTGCATATCTGTCTCTCCCACCAAATTTGAGTTCCTTATTGGCATTCCTTACTTTCCTTTATGTTTCTGGTCAACCACAGAGCCTGGTACTTGTTATGCCTGTTAAATTAATGTTTTCCACGACAGATATGTCTTGTCTTCCCTACAAGTTTACAAGGGGAAAGTCCAAGTTTTTTCATCTTTATAACAACCTCTGTAGTGCTAGGCAAATACTAAGCAATTACTAAATGTTTGCTGAATTAATAAGTTGACAGCACTACTTTCTGTATCATACCACAAAATCTTACTCATGCTTCATACTTCTGTATGAAATAGTGAGTTCAAACAAAGATCTTTCCATTTTTTTATATTCACCATTGGGAAAAAGAAATAATTCACTTCGACTTCATAGGAACATGTGAACACTCATTTCAAACTTCCAGAAATAAGCTGCAACCTTCCCTAGACACTCCATTTTAACAATCTTTTCCCAACTCTAAACCACTGTAGTAATGGTCATCTCTACCACTTGTTTAATAGCCTCATGCTTGCTTAACGCAGTCATCCAGCTTTTCATGTGCTCTTTTTTTCCTCTGACAAACTAGCCTGGAAAATCAGAAGATCCTGGACAAAAATGGCCAGTTTGTCTCCAGTGATCTCAGTGTCTTTTGTATACCTTCTTTCCTTCTCTCCCCTGTAAAAAAGCAGCCAATACAGAATGGTATATGACACTCTCATTACAAAACAGTGAAAGCATTCAGCTGTGGGTCTGAGACACTAGGTCGTCAAAGAAAAGAGAATCCCAGAGAGGCCTGGTTAATTTGGCTTGAAAGGGTACACAGCTCCAGTAGAAACTGGTGATGGAAAGAAAAATAAGTGTACATACAAGATCAAAGAGAGAACTGAAAACCTCTAAATTTTCAGGTCTGGGTCATCTAGAGATTTAACCCTAACAACTGGAGTGGTAAAGGAATTTACCAGGCACCAGGCACTATGAACTCGACTTTCCAAGTTACAGACAGAACAACTTGGAAATAGATGGCTAGCTTTGGAAAAAGAACTAGACTGGAAAAGATAGAAAGCACAATGTTCCCCTTTACCAATGTCCCTTTACAAATGTACAAATTCATAAGAAATGTTTTATTATGCCACTTCAAAGTCAAAAGAACAAGACCTTTGCTAAGAAGACTGGCAATCAGTGTATGGACAATTCAGTCACAGGGACAGAGCATCACACTTAACCCCAATCCGCCACTGACCCAGCTGTTACAAGTATTGTTCATTCTTATTTAAAGAAGAGGAATTCTGGGGAAACCCAAAAACAAATTAAAAATTCATCTACTCTTATTTGATCATATCAACAAATCTGTTCATTTTTTAAAGTGTGATAACAGTATTGTGGTTATGTTAAAAGAAAAAGTCCTTCTCTTTTAGAGATAAATACTGAAATATTTACAGAAGAAATAATACAGTGTCTGGGATTGGCTTCAAAATAACATGAGGGTGAGGAGAGGGGTGCTATACGTGAAATATATCTTATTTCATCTGGCCAAGAGACAGGTACATGTGGTTCATTAGATCAGGGTACTTTAAAAAGTTCACAGAAGGATTAATGTTATCTTTTGAGTCTATTTTTGAAGTACCTTATATATACAGTATGTTTAAATTTTCCATAATAAAAAATTGCACTAAAAATGCATTCAAGGTTTCAAAAATTTTGTACACATCAATAAATTTCATTTTTTTCCTAAAGAAGAAAGCTCAATAACGGTAATATTGAATAATTCTAATACTTATATTCATTATGAAAAGGTAAAAACCCAGAATTACAATGAAGTCACTTCCCTCATACTTAAATGAATTTACTGTAATTCTAAAAACACAAAAATACACATCTTCATCTTCATGCTGTATATGTTTACACTTAATGAGACAATACTAGAGATCTGG